CTTGTGCAAAGGGGGGTGGGGTTATATATAATATACACATTAGGTGAATGTGCAGTCGTAGCATGTATACAGCAAGAAGGTGAATTCTGTATATTAAGTGAATTAAATAAGAATAGACAATCTGACTATTTTACAAAATAGACAAAATGAACAGATTTAAAATTAAAGGAATTTGAAATGTTGCTTGGGGATAGAAGCTCCTCTTGAGTCTCTCCGTCCTTGCCCGGAAGATGCGGAACCTTCTACCAGATTGCAGAAGTTGGAACAGTTTGTTGCCTGGATGGGACGGGTCCTTCAGTATCTGCGCTGCTCTAGTCCGGCATCTCCTGGTGCAAATGTCCTGAAGTGAGGTGAGAGCAATCCTGCAGCAGCGTTGTGCTGTACGGATCACTCTCTGAAGAGCTTTTTGGTCCTTAACACAGCTGTTCCCAAACCAGGATGTGATGTTCTGTGTGAGGATGCTTGTATAGAAAATCTTTTGTTTCACAAGATAAAATCGACTCTATTCAGTTGAGATCTTGTGACTATGGAGGCCATTTGAATACCGTGAACTTATTATCATGTTCAAGAAACCAGTCTGTGCGGATTTGAACTTTTTGAAATGTTATATAATCATGTGCCATCAAAAGATGGATACACTGTGGTTATAAAGGGGTGGGCATGGTCAGCAACAATAATCAAGTTGGCTGCGATGCCTCAATGATGTTCAGTTGGAACTATAGGGCTGAAAATGTGCTAAGAAAATATCCTCCACAACACTACACCACCACGTGCTGCCCATTCAGAGATGCTCTGCATACCTCGGCTGTAAGTGGTTATTGCTGCTTTCTTATCAGCTCAAAGCAGTCTGGCATGTCTGTACCAATAATTACTGTAATTTTACACAGGACCGTGACTCACATAGAAAACGCAGTCTGTAAGTGTCCAAACAGATCGTGTTAGTTTACTTTACAATGCAGGAAAATGAAAAAAGCTCAATTTTGGGTCTGTGTTTCTATTTTTGTCACACTTCTTTTCATTTCTTTAATTGTTCTGTTTTATCTTACTGGTGACATTTAATTATTTCTTGTTTACTTTAATCAAGTCATAAAACTTATTCTAACAAGAACAAACTTTGCTTTAAAGCCTCTTCTGCAAAGCCAAAAATGTATTTTGAAATACTTCGAAATGCTGTTTAAGAATAGAATATAACCTCTCGTAAGTTGATCAAATTCTCAGTTGTCATTGTCTTTAATAATAGGCACAATCCTGAGTACTGTTCTGATACATATGAAATGTAAAAAGAACATCCCGTCTCTACCAAAGATATTAAAAAGTAAAAAACAACAACAAACCTATTCCGCCTGAGCTCAGATTACGACAAGAATAAACTCTGATTTCAATGTACAACAGAAATAGCAGGAATTTACTGAAAGTTTATAATCCTGCTGGGTTGAGAAACGTTCTTAGTACAGTAGGTCAACTCATCCTGTCACTGGTTATGCAATATATACCCTATGAGGCTATTTCTTCTACCTGTGTGGACTTTGATGTCCCCTGACGGCCTCATTAAAGCCTGATTTATCTTAACTTTCTTAACTGGCTTAACATGCTGGTAAAACTGAGTGCCCCTTGGCTTCACAAGCACCATTAAACATGGTTTACAATAATCACACACTTTATTCCTGAGCAAGTTATTACATACAAAATGTAAGCCCCAGTGAACTTCAGGAGCTTAGCTCATAAATTAAATCTACTTAAAGGACAAACCAAGAGATATTCAGGGCACTGTTCACGTAATATATAAGTCAACTTAGTGCTGCCGTCACTGTTTCTCTGAATTCACTATTTATCTTACAGGCGTACTTACAGTAAATCTGCAACATATTGTCTGTCATGTGTCCTCTATTTACCTGTCTACTTTACTGTGACGGTTATAGAGTGAAAGTCAGATTTGGCGACATCTATGGGTAGAGAGTTGTTTAGCAGGTTGCTCACCGAATTTGAGTCAAAACCTCCGTATCAGCTGCTGTCTGCCAGCATTTTACTTGTTACAGATTCTCCTCTTGAAAGTGTAGCAATATAGAATCTGTAAGTATGTGAAAGTGAGGCCACACTTTTTACACAATAAATCCAAAGCTGCCCAAACACTATATATGTATTTAACCTCAAGGTGCTGTCAGAAATCATTTAGAGATTCGTAGAAATTCAGTCAAGGATACAAAGGAAAGGGAGGCGAAATGTAAGAAGCTTATGATGTGCATAAATACAGGCACTGAGTAGTATAAAGATCACAGAAAATAGTTTAGGACTGCATGGACACTGGGCTAAAAGCATTTCAAGGAAGATAAATACCACAAAAAGAATGTTTTTGATAAAGAAAAATCTAACAATTTGTTTGTGTTTGTCTTGTCTCTGATGTATAGCTGTAATAAGTGGTCATTCTGGAGCAAATGAAGCTATTGAAGCTATTTTACCTTGAGTCTTTTCATCCTATTTTCATGTGGACATATTTATATATTATATTTATCAAAGCATGCCCCCCCTAAGTCCCACATGCTGAGAGGAAAAGGAGGTCTTAGAGGACATCATGAAGAGGGGAGTGAAAGCATATCTGTTTGCAAAAGCTAAGAAGCCCTCTACAAAGCTTTACCCATCGTCTGCGATGGTAAAAATGTAACAAAATGGAGAGCAATCACACCGACTACGACTCTGCCTGGAAATGGGAGCCTTTTCAAAACACCTGGGAGATAATAATTCAGGCGTGAGCCTATACAAAATAGAGCTTTTCTGTCATGTTCGAAACTGCTGTGTGTGATGAAAAGTTATCACTGCGCACTGCCAAAAGAGCCCTTCTTCCAGCAGTGAAGCATGATGCTGTAAATGTGAAGATCTGGGGCTGATTTTCTTTTGTTGGACCTGGTCACACCATGATTTTTAAGGCCCATCAAGAAATTCTTAAACAAAAGGTAATGCTACCAGGCTTGGAGTTGAGGAAGGGGTGAAAAAAAGGATAATGTAACAAAGAAAATAATGACACGGATCATTCCTGCAAAACAACCAAGGAATGGCTGATGGAAAAGAATCGTTGCCCAGACAGTTCATGGCAGACATCCTTCCAGCCTCATTCAACTCGCAGGATTGTGCAAGCCAAATGCAACCCTCCAACAACTCACCGTACCGGACATTTAATTTATATAACTGGTGCAAAAAAGTGTCACAAGCTACCAATGAAGGTATATGGGAAATTATAATCAGACTAACTATTCCTAAAAGTTTATAGACGTTTGCTTAACCAGGTTTTTATGTGAACTTTTCTTTATGTCAGTGAATCAGAATATGTCAAGTGTTTCCAAAGAAAAGTGTGATATACTTTATGCTTCTGCTGCATGACTGTAAGAATAAAACAGTAGATTTAGATTGAAACGAGCCCCAACTCATTTTTATGACTCCCAACCTCGAAAGGGGAGTTTCCAAAGAGCGCTCGAATGGCGCATTACTCACCCTGACTGTGTCACTGATGTCCTGAGTTATATCATGTTCTCTGAGGAGGAGGCATCTGTTTCATTGTTTGGGCCAGACGGTGCCGCTTGTCAGGGGAATTTCTTCTCGACAGCACAGACCTGCCCGTGCTACAGATGGCTTATCTCACAGTAAATGATTCAGAAAACGACAATATGCCTCGGAACAGGCATAAGGTCATCTCCTTTAGCTAATGGAATGTCTTCCTTGGTTAGAGCCTGGACAGAGCACTTGTTGGGTATCTGTTTCACGGTGGCGATGTGAAGCTCTTTGTCAGCCACTCGGGGATAGGTGGGCGTTTTAAATCCACTGGTAACACTCCTGATCCACCCATTTAAATAGTAAGCAGAACAAATAATGCTTTTCCAAACTGGAATTTAAGGTGCAGACATGACAGTGTAATTCCCGTACTTAACTAACCAGACTGATTCTCACTGCCGAAATCATAGCAGTCCAATTTCCTGAAAAATTATGTGTAAAGTTGTCAGCTTGGGCCCCGGAGCAAACGCTAAAGCCATTCCAGTGTTTCATGGTGTCAAAACACTGAATCGTTTATGCAAGTACAGACCTATAAAAAGGCAAGGGACTGTAAGTTAAGACCTACTGTAATATTCAGCAATTATCAGCCTGTCAGCTCAATGCACAAATGTCAGAGAGAATCAGGAGCCGCTGCCTCCCAGCTGAGTCGAACAGCTGTGAATAAGACATTAACAGACATCATCACATCACTGTAACCTGCTTGGTTTACTGTGAACCACTTTATGTCAGTCACGTAATGTACGTCAAATTAACTTGGCAAAAATCCTACAACCTACATGTAAAAAAAATTGGACGTCCAGCACTTTTTTCTTTTTTTTTAAAATGAACACAAGCAGACAGCTGAATCTTCACAACGCCTTTCTCTTCCTCTCTAATGTGATTGTAGGCATGACGTAGAACATCAAAGACAAAATCTTATCTGACCCCTCTGTTCGCTCTTTGATACGGACATTAGAGCATCTGAGGCTCGTCCCTAGTGATCGTCGGCGTCTTTCTGTCCTGGGTTTGAAGATTAAAAAGAAGCTGACAGGGGCAAAGGGAAAGAAGTGTGATGTGGAGAGACAGATTTGTGGAGACATGAATAGCTTGCAGGTGTTTTTTTTTTTTGAGTAAGAAGAGAAAGAGAGATGGATAGAGTGGGAGATTTGGATCTGTGACTTTCCCTCCACGCTGTCACTATGTTTTATGGCGGAAGAGGTGTTTGCGAAACCGGAGGTGCTGCATAGACGGGCCACGTGAAAAGGATAGTTTTAGTTTGCAGCCTGACTGCCGTCTGCTCACAACCAACATATCTAAAAAAGGAGAAGAAAAAACCAGAAGAGATTTGCTTTCAAGTAGTGCTTCAGAAAAACAAACACATCTGAGTGCAGGGTTTGTGAAGGAGTAACAGTTTAGATAAAGAAAGGGCAGTCGAAGGAGAGCAGAACAACACAAGGCCTGAATAAATACACAAAGCTAAATTTGCAAAAAAGGTTTTAATTGGCATTGTTTTAATCATTCTTGGTTCAATTTACAGTTGTTTAATCATTCTCGTCAAAGGCAAACACATTTCGTGTGCTTGTCTTCAACATCGGTAAATGCTTTTCGCCCACGTCCCAAACCCCATAACATAAACTAACATTACAGAAGAGCACATTCTCTCGTACGCACTTGCATATTCAGATCCTACAAATGACTCCTTTATGAGTACGAAATTCCTAAATGCCACATACTTGAAAAGCGCGGACAAACACATTCTACATACATACGCACAAATGTGCACACATATGCTTGTTTCGTTTTGTTTTTTTTTCTCACCCTGCTCGCTCTCACGCGCACGCACACACACAAACTCACACGCACATTCCACAACCGGCATGTATTATAAATATACATTACGACGCACGCATCCCTCATTTCGCAAGCGCAACACTTTGAGATGCTGCCCCTCAATCGGCATGGCCTGCCACTGCATTCACAGTTGGTTTATGACATGCTCTTCAGCAACGAAATCTGGTAAGCAGTATCCGTTACATGAGAGTGGGGTTACTGCGCGTACGTCCCTACTGATTAGTCATGAACAATAACCTTCTCTTTGTGTCAGGCTGAGTTACATCGATTTATCTACACAAGCAAAAATGCTGCAGTAAAAAATTCACTGTAATAATAGAAAAAAAGAATAAGAATTTAAAAAAAAATGGCACGATAGCTTATTAAGCAAAGGCCTACAAATGCACGCTAATAAATTAGGTAAATAAATAGTTTAATGATAAAATAAATACGTTTGAAAAATTAAATAAATAAAAAAAGCATACATTGTAATCTGATTAAGCCTACGCTGTCCTGTATTACAATATAAAAAAGTGAACTTCTCTTTATTTGCACATTCACAAGTGTTTTTTTTTTAACGTCTTTATATATATATTTTTTTAACAAAATGGCGGCAGCGTTACTTTGAGACTCAAAGCACAGTTTCTCCTCAGGCACCTGCCGCACTTTGGCGACTGTATGGGGTTGTTTCCAGGGTGACTGTGACTGCTGTTAATGGTCATCAGCACTGATTGGCTGTGGAAAAAGGAACAGACAGGGTTGTCTGGGATTAAAAGGGGACTTGCTGCTGTGAGAGTTTCTTTTTTTTTTCTTTTTTTTTTAAAAGAACTGTAAATTAGTGACGTTCTGAATGACTGTGCTGATTGCAGCGAAGGTTTGACATCCGGAAAATCTACGCCAAGTGCTGAAGGTAAATGCGTCAGAACAAAACACACATCTACCACATCTACCACGTCTAAGTGCCATCAAATTACTAGTCCAGGGTCTGTACTTTTCTAGGGTTGTTACAGTGTGAAGGCAGGAAATGCAGACAAAAGACTAGTTCTAAGAGGGCACTTCCTACCTTCTAAGAAATGCAGGCTTTGCATCTGTACCTATCACAAAGCTAGGGGTATTTTTTTGATGTCTGGTGAAAATGGATTTTTGAAAGGCTCGTGGATATATCACAAAGTCTTTCCCCTTTCTTGGACTGTTATTACCACCAGCTTCCTCACATCAGTGTTAAAACATTCTTCAATGTCCAGCGCAACAGCAGGAGTTCTCATCACGACTGATTATGTCCTGATAGTCTGGGTAAGATCAGTACAGATCCAGAGTCCATCTTGCTCATTACTACATCAAAGTTGGGTTTAATGCATCATCAGACTGGGCCTGTGGTCCAAGGACTAAAAAGCCGCTGCGGAGTCCAGGTTTCCAATCTTCTTCAAAGCTCAAAGTTGAAGAGAAAGCAGCTTAAATTCCTCCGGTGATTTGATATCCATGCTACAATAAGAGCGTGTAGTCTGCACCCAAGTTATTACAAGTCAGTTTTCTTACTCTCATCAGGCTTCGGAGCAGCGCAGAAGTCGGACTCTGAGTGTTGTTTTGGTCTCAACACCCGCAATAAAGGTGGTAGTGGTGTGATAATGATATCCAGCAACATGTAAGAAGCTACTTTCGGCCGCTCCCTTTTTCACAAGGGATAAGGCCACAGCCGGTAGCTCCGCATAATTGATTTGGCAGATTTTTACGCCGGATGCTCTTCCTGACACAACCCCGAAGGGATTTGCGTCTCCTCCTGGGATGCAACTGGGAATCTTTCGCTTGTTAGGTGAATGTGTAAACCCCTACACTATGGAGCACATGGAGTGTCAAAATACACTGGTGTAAATATGACAGCAAAAAAGGCCTCTTTTTTTAAAGTCCATTAAGCTAAGTTAAAGTTTGTTTTTGTTGGATTTTTTTTGTTGTTTTTTGTCGTGTTTTTTTTGTCTGTGTCCTTTTGATTGCGCTTCAGTTGCACCTTGACTCTGTGTGTTTCTGTCAGATTTCACGTAATCACAAACTTGGTGGATACAAAGCCCTTTGCAAAAGGCGGGTCCAGCTATGCATGAAGTGCCACTCGGCGACTGTTGCTAGGACAAAAGGACGGCAGACACGAGCAGCATTGCCACGGTGAGAAGAAGGCGGTCACGTGAGGGGCTGCTGCCACTGACGCTCTTCTCCAGCTTCGGGACTTCAGGGTTAAATTCATCTGGAGAGCAAAAACCACAAAAAGAGAAAACAAGAAAGTAAGAAAAGAGAGAGCAAGAATGTAAAACCGCGAGAGGGAAAATGTGTCAGACAGAAGACAGAAGGGAATAAACCATTACTACATTATTAATTAATCAATCTAAAGGCAGTGTGTGATGCATTCAAATTGTGCCTTAACATATGCAGAGAAAGAGACATAATGCAATTACCAACAAACCACCAATTATCATCAGCTACATATGGCCATTTCCCCCCTGGGATGGAAAATTAAAAACATTTTTGTTTCTGATCTATTTCTTTGTGTGTGTGTGTGTGTGTGTGTGTGTGTGTGTGTGTGTGTGTGTGTCTTCCTTTCCTCACACTAATGATGTTTTTATCCTGGAGGGATTTCAATCACACCAAATTACTATGGCCTTGCCATTGATTAGACACAACAGAACATTAGCTGGAGGGGAGAGACGGAGAAAGAGCCGGGAGAACACATTTTGTATTATTTGGTAAAAAGTGGATTACACTGAGTGATTATGTTCTGCCTCGACATAATGCTTCCCATTATATCTAGAGGGTTATTACAAATCAAAATAAACCAAAAGAAAGCAAACAAAGCTTTCACGTCCATCTGTCCTACAGCTGTAGGATGCCTGGGCTCGAAACCAGCTTCTCTATATAAAATAAACCCAATTATAGAAGAAATCTGCAATTACTTAATGACATCAGCACATTTTGGAAATGTAGGCTGTGTCTCATATCATGCTCATATATGCTTGCTTTGGGCACATAAGCATGAAGTGCTCTACAAGCTCCTGGATGGTGTAGTCAACATTTTCAAAAATTAGCCCCATAGTGGAAAGGGAGGGACCGGCAAACAATTTTTAGCTAGTAGAAAGAGGATACTACTGATAATACTAATGCTACAGCACTGCAGAGACAAATCACACCTTTCATGTTTGGAAGAATTGTTCAGTGTTAGGCTGTCATCCTCAGTGTTCACAAAACACAGTAACTAGTGTGGCAGGTACAGTTCTGAGGTACATCCCTCATTTCTTTATATTTTGATAGGACAATAAGAAATCTGTGCAGCAATTTACTGAAACTTGCAAACATACAACAACTCGTGTACAAATGAAGTATGCAATCTCGTAAGAAAGTAAGCTTACTATGGATGGCATTGCCTTGGCCTCCAGTAGCATTGTGAGGAGCTTGGCGTTTCTCCTACATATTAAACAAATATGTAGGAGTGTCTTCTTCCATTTGCGCAATATCTCTAAAATTAGAAACATCCCATCTCAGAGTGACGCTGAAAAACTAGTTCATGCATTTATTGCTTCTAGGCTGGATTACTGTAATTCGTTATTATCAGTATGTCCTAAAAACTCCCTGAAAAGCGTTCAGTTGATCCAAAATGCTGCTGACAGGAACTGGAAAAAGAGAGCATATTTCTCCTTTATTGGCTTCTCTTAGTTGGCTCCCTGTTAAATCCAGAATCAAATCTAAAATCCTCCTCCTCACATACAAGGTCTTAAATAATCAGGCCCCATCTTATCTTAATGACCTTATAGTACCATATCACCCTATTAGAGCTCTTCGCTCTCAGACTGGGGGCTTACTTGATGGTCTTAGAGTATTTAAAAGTAGAATGGGAGGCAGAGCCTTCAGTGGAACCAGCTTCCAATTTGGATTTGGGAGACAGACACTATCTCTACTTTTAAGATTAGACTTAGATTTTCCTTTTTGATAAAGCATATAGTTATGGCTGGAGCAGGAGACCCTGAATCTTCCTTTAGTTACGCTACAATAGGTCTAGGGTGCTGGGGAATTCCCATGATGCACTGAGTGTTTTTTCTTCACTGTGTGTTTGTACACCTCTGCACATTTAACTATTACTTATTATTAATCTTTGGCTCTCTTCCACAGCATGTCTTTGTCCCGTCTTCGTCCCCTCACCCTAATTGGCTGCAGCAGATAAACGCCTCTCACTTAGCCTGGCTATGCTGGGGATTTCTTTGGGTTAAAAAGAAGTTTTTCCTTCCCACAGAGTGTCACATGATCGTTACGGTTTTCTTTCATTTCTTTGTATTATTGTAGGGTCTTAAAAAATATAAAAGGGGCTTGAGGTAAATAAATCAAATTGAATTTAATTGAAAATTGTAGTCTTCAGGAATAGTTCTCCAGGCTTTTTGAAGGACATTTAAAACTTGGATGTTGGTTGCGTTTTTTCTGTTTTCTGTCAAGATGATCCTACGTTGATTCAATAATATTGAAGTTCAGGCTCTGGGGAGGCCAAGCCATTCTTGCTTTTAACTGGATTGGCAGTGTGTTTGGGATCATTGTCATGCTGAAAAATAAAGCTGTTGGCAATCAGATGCTTTCCAGATGGTATTGCAAATTTTATGGTATCAAAATCTGATGATACTTTTCTGTGTTTATAACTCCATCAGTTTTGACAGGATCTTGAACACCACTGGCTGAAATGTATTACCAAATCATGACAGAGCTTCAACCGTGTTTTACAGATGGCTGTAGAGGCTCGTTGTTGTACCTGTCTCCTGAGAGCCTTTGTACACACTGATGAAGAGCTGAACTCAAAATTTCAAAACTCGTTGTCACTGATTTTTTTGTATAATAACAGACTTTTGCACAAGATTAAAACATTAACAGTATCTGAAATACTAATACGAGTAAAGACATGGGCATTATATATATATGATACACGGATTTGACCTTATATGAAAAGTAGTTTAATGCAACATGTCTGCTTTGGTAGAAGAAAGATATTTATTTGACAAGCTTTGGCTGACAGACAACAAAACCAGTATGGTTATCAATTAAAGTCCCCTCTCTTTTATATTATTTTGTGATATAAAGCTCCAGTCTTCCATAAAATTAAACTGGCTTCAGTTACAAAAGCACAAAATTGAACAGGCAAAATGTTTTTCTCTCTCTTTTTTTTAAAATCTTTTTCATTGCAACTTTAAATTCTTGTCTGAACTACCTACATGTAACAGCACAGGCACCTAATTACAAGAAAAAAACTAGATAGCTGGTGATAACAGAGAGAGATGGCAATCACCTTGCAGGTGATAAATGCATGGAATTCTGTTTTTGTTTTCTCTGAGAGTAAAGCGACCTCTCTCACTGCATGACTCCTGTCCACGTCAAAGTTGCTCTTAAGTAACACGAGGCATCTGTCTGATGACGCACAACCCTGACATTAACACGGCAATGCATCAGGGTGAAGACAAACAAGGAACACTAAGTTAAGGCGCTGCCTCAGGTAAGACCCACAGGTCACCGCGAGGCCGCCACACCATGTGGATTGTCTCTCTAACAACATTTCAACAGTCTGAGGCACAGCGTACAGTTGGAGATGAGAAGACGAGACATCCTTTGCCTCCAGAAAAAGCCGAACGTTCCTTACCTTTACATAAGCAACTGCACAGTCTCTTCTCGAAAGTTGCTGTGCATGTGAACTGATTCTTACAGACTTGTTTGTGGGTGCCGTGAGCTTTGACAATCACCACCCCACACAATATGCACCTCTTCAAAACCCTTGCTATTTAGGGAGGACGGCATTGGAAGATGAATGTGGGGAACACTTCCTGCCTCGGGCCATAACAAGTTATCAAAGGTCCAGTGTTTGACATCTAACATCACAGTACAATTGTAGGATATAGTAATCAATTTCCAAGCGCACAATCCGGTGCAGTCTAGTGTGAAAGGGGGTATAACAACAGATGGGCATGCAGGGTAGCTCTCCTGTCCACGGTGAACCGCCTCAAGGCATTTACAGTGAGATAAGAAACACAAGCAGTAGACTGTCGATGAGTGGAAAGAGGTTGTCTGGTCTGATAAATCCTCGTGCCAGCTATGCCACAATGATGCTAGACTTGCAGCGAGGCATAAACAACATGAGGCAATGGGCCCATCTTGCACGCCTACAGCTCTCCAGGTCAGTGGGGGAGGTGTAATACTGTGGAGGATATTAAAACGGCTTCCACTCGATCTAAATAACAGTCCACTGATTGTTGTTACCAATAAAACCGGGGGAGCAATTAGCACTCACTGACTAACATTGAGCACTGCTGTTATTGTGCACTAAAAGCTGACCATTGACTCCGTCAACTTAAACGTTGAGAGGTTATTAGGCTGGTTTCAGGCCTCTGAATGACTATCTACTACTTCAACTTGCATTTCAACCAGGTCCCGTGCGTAGGTCCAGCTGTGGATGCCATCTTCCTTGTATCTACATAAAGATAGCGGCAGAAATTAGGATCATATGAGACTGCAGTCATGTGAAAAAGAGCATTTTCACAGAGTTCTGTGCAATGCTCTAAAAACTAAGGAAAGGCTTACCACTGCCATCGGAATTAAGAGGATAAGTAGCAGCCAGGTGCTACTAATCAAATGCACTTAATTAACTCATCATTAGCAAGTGTGAGCACCTCTACACTTAAAAGCAGATGTTTTGGCAATTCGCAGGTCTGAAGCATTCAGGTGTGTGTTAACACAATGCCACAATCTTCCCAGGAGTAGACTTTCCACCCAACTCACTCCAAGGTCAAACTGTGCAATACTCAAGGAAAGTGCAAGAAACCCAAGAGCTACATCTCAGATTCTACAGGCCTCTGTGAGCATGTTAAATGTTAAAGTTCATGACAATACAATTAGAAAAAGACTAAACAGGTGTAACTTGTCTGGAAGGGCTGCCAGGAGAAAGTCCTTTTTTCTCTAAAAAGAACATGGCAGCACAGCTTTGCACAGCTTTGCAAAGTTATATATGAAAAAAACGAGTGTAGAGTGTAGATGTTTGGCCATAATACATAGCGCCACATTCAGTGAAAACTAAGCAGAGCATATCGGCAGAAACACCTCATACCAACTGTCAACCACGGTGGTGTAGTGGTGATGATTTGGGCTTGTTTTACAGCCACAGTACCTGGGCACTTTGCAGTCCTTTAGTTTACCAAAAACTCCTCTCTATATTAAAGCATTCTAGAATCT